TCAAAATTTAATTGTTTAAACATATGACTTGTCTCAACATCGTTGGTTTTATTTTTCCACCAAAAAAAAAATTGTTTTGATTTTAATATTTTTGTTGTTGTAGTTTTTTTTTCTTTAATTCAATTCCTCTGTGGCGACACTATTTCATAGTTTTCTTTTTTTTTTGGTAATTATTGCATTGCATTGCATGTTTTTTTTTTTTTTTTTTTTTTTTGCTTTCAACCAAAAAGAAAATTTTAAACGAAAAAAAAAATAATTAAATGAAAATCAGAAAAACAAATGAAAAAAAAAATAAAAATAATCAAAACAAAAACACGTGAAACTTGCATGCAACCTGACTGCATGCCCGCCTGCTGTCAACCCGACCCAACTAAACTGGTGAAATTGTAAATAATTAAAATTATTCAATACTATATTGCGATCAGGTTTTTTCCTGCTGTTATTTAGGGTTGTTGTCGTTGGGTTTATTGTTGCTGTGCATGTTTTAAAACCCTAGAACTTCGTACATTCATAATTACTGTAAATGGGATCTGGGGTGTTCGCTGTTCGTATAGTTGCTGCTTGGTGCTAAAAAAAGTGATAATCACGCATTTCACTGTTGTAAATTAATAAATATTAAACAAAAGCAAATGATAGAGATTTGTTTGCGGTTTTTTTTGTTTGTAAATGGTTTATTTTTCCTGCAGTCAGTCAGTCAGTCGGTCGGTCATTGCATTGCCATGAACCAATAAAAAATAGGTTTTTATAACCTTAAAGTTATGACCACAGAGGTTAGATCATATGATAAAGTTTGAGGGTCCATATCCCTTTGGACGAAATCCCTTTCAGGCTATTTGGAGTAGATTTAACGACATCGGGCCACTTCTTTTGGTATCTAAACCACAAAAGTTCACATTTTTAAGAGTTTTTCTTCATTCATGAGGCTTGTGAAAACTTATCCAACATGGACTTCGAAGCAAATCACGATTATTTGAAATAGAACACAGAAAATGAAGTAAAGGTGACAAGATAAAATATTATAAAATTACGTACTTATCCCTAAAATAAAATATCATTGGATACATACTAAATTCCACAATTCTATGGAGGTTATATTAGCTTTGTCATTCCATTTGTAACTCCTCGAAATATTCATGATAGACCCTACAAAGTATATACAGGGTGAGATAAAAAAACTGCAACAAAGTCAAACGCCATAATGTTTACATGTTTTTTTTTTAATTTCTTTGAATAAAAGCAAAAAAGATCGGAAATTGCTTCAAATTTTAGAATAAATTTAGATTTGTTTGAATTGGCCACCTTTGGCATCAATTATGGCCTTCAAACGGCCAATGAAACCATCACACGCTGCCCGAATGTTGCTCTGCAGTATTTTGGCCCATTCCCGGCGAAGCGCTTGCTTGAGGTTATCGACACTTTGGTATTTTTTAGAGCCAACCTTGCTTTTCAAAATACTCCAGACGCAATAGTCCAACGGATTGTTATCCGGAGATTTTGATGGCCATTGTGCGCTGGAAATGAAGCGAGGAACCTTACTTTGTAATCATTCTTGGGTGGCGTGTGCTGAGTCCTGTTGGAATGTGTCAAGGTCTGCAGCTAAAATGTTTGCGTGCCCAAGGCTTTAATACAACCTCCAGAATATTTTCGCGATAATATTTGGCATTTATTCTGATGCCACGGTCGATTAATACGAGCGGAGAGCGACCAACGGCTGTTATGGCGGCCTACACCATCATCATGGCCGGCGCTTGAGTTCTGGTGGCCAACTGGAAGTGCACATTTTCAGCTGACCTCTTTGGAAAGTAAACACGATAATTTTGTTTGTTTACAAACTGCTGGACAGCGAATGTTTTCCCGTCGGAGAAAACCAAATTCGGCAGTACACCACTTTCGGCCAAGCGAAGCAACTCTTTAGCTTATTTGAGTCTATTTTCTTTCTGTTGCGGTGTAAGTTCTTGCACTTTTTGGAATTTCAATGCCTTTACCCCGAGCACATTTTTCAATATTTGCCGAATGGAATATTGGGATATGTTCAGCTGAGAAGCCATTTTTCGGCAACTGCGACGCGGGTTTCGATCAAGTCGCTTCTTTACTTTTCGAACCATTTCTGCTGATGTTGCTGTTTTCTTCCGTCCACTTCCTTGACATCGGGCTACGCTACCGGTATCACGGTTACAAACGATGCTAGGAAACACAAAAGATTTATTCACATTTAAATGCTGGAGTGCTCTAACTATAGCCACTTGTGATTTTCCAGCCAAATATAAAGAAATTCCATCACGAATAACTTCTTTTCTGGAAAATTTTCACCAAAATGCTTTTGTACGCTTGTAAACAATATAATGAGCTGTCACTGGAATAATTTTAACAGTTGTCGGATGAGTGGCTTAGAAATGACAGCAATCTGAAGTTGGTTGCAGTTTTTTCATCTCACTCTGTATGGCTAGAGAGGGTATATATCAATTGACCCTAGGTCTCTTTGGACCAAATCCGTTTCAGGACATGTGGAGTCGATCTAAAGATGTCCGTCCGTCCGTCTGTCTGTCTGTCTGGCTGGTGTGCACGATAACTCTCGAAGGAAGCATCCGATTTGGTCCCGAATCATGCGTGAACTGTTTGAACAAGTGTTGCCCAAAGGATTATAGCTAAAAACCACCATTTATTTTCCAAAATTCGGTTCTGAATTTCTCCTCTTGTTACTATTATTTTAATGGATATCCATTATTACAAAATAGATCATTCCGCTGATGCGTGTTCACTTCGAATATGCAATGACACAAATCATTTATTATTTGTTCACTTCTTTTGCGATATTCATGGACGGTTTGGTTGCTATCCTCCTCCAGTAGCCTGCTCTTGGGCGTCTCAAAGAGACAATGAATAAACTTCATATATATAAAACCAATTGCAATTGAAAGTGATTTCAGCAATTGAATTGAATTGCATTCCATTTACAAGACTCACATAAAAGAACTGAATGGAGACCGACCGACCGCTGGGCTAGATCACTTTGAGTTACACACAGAGACCGTATGCGAGTTAATTGTTATGGATTTTATTTGCAATTTACAAAACAAATAATGGAATTCCATCTGATTTGTTATCCGTTAATGGATGAGATTGACAGGGTGATAAATTTCTGTAGTATTTGTTGGTAATATGGAGCGACGAATCAGTAAAGATAACACAGGCTCAAGGGACATTATAACTTTGTTCCAGGACCTTCAATGGAGCACAATATTACACGGGTTTCCCATTGTAAGCTAGATAAGTATTTTCTCATATAAAGAACTACTGAAACTTGCAACTTGATGTGAGATAGAGAGAAAGAAATCACAAATTTGAGAGAGAATGAGAGAGAAATCAGTTTCTGTTACTCAGAACATAGTAGTAAATCTATCAATTGATGAACTTGACATTTGATTGCCAGGGGTAACTAGGTTGAAAAAAGGAAAAACTAATTTGCGCGCCAAAACATTTTCTGAGAAAAAAAGTGTTGTGGTAGTGTGACTATGAACAAGGAGCTTTTTTATTTTTCTGATGATTATTCTCCCGAAGAAGAATGAATGACTGTAGATAACAACAAAGAAACCCCTGTGAAAGGTGTAGGCTTGTATTTTAGGTTTCTTTATTTCGTTTTTGTGCCATTAAAACACTGATGCCTGCATACCAACACAATATAGTTGCTTAGCCCGCTAATGGTTCCAAAATTCAAAATATTGATGTGGTCAAATAGAAGTTCATAGCTTAATCTCACATTGCCACATTTGCCAAATAGAATTTGTACTAAAAATGTTTTGCATAAATACTAATTTTATAATAATTTCATTTACGAAGGGGTTACATAGTTTATGGAGCTTCTTGGCGTAGAAATTAGTATTTTTGCAAAACATTTTCAGTACTTGTGATCAAATTAACAAATAGTCCATAAAACTCTTCACAAATCTGACAAATAAACTAAAAATTTAGTACTGCAGGTCAGTGTCATTGTCATTGAATTTCCCAAGAAGTCTCACGTGACTCTAGGACCAATTCCCACAGAACATTTCTTGGAAGACCATAAAAAATGGGTGTGAAATTTATTCGTAAATATTTTTCGCAGTTTGTTTTTTCTTTGCATTTCATTTGAAATGTTTTCCTGCCAGACTCAAAGGCTTTCAGTGCGATTTTATTATATTTTCAGCCATAATCTATCTTTAAATACACTGCATAGCGATAAGATAAGAATAGAAGAACCAGCCCAGTGAAATGATTGTTGACATACCCCCCACTCATCAACCACCACCTCTACCCAGATAACAGTCACCTACCTACCTTTGTTATTTATTTAATTACCAGTCGGGTTGGTTGGATGATGAGTCCATCCATGTCTTCCTTATCTGTTTTCCTATTGCAAAATTAAAACGTCAAAAAAAAACAGCAACTCAACAGAGAAACATAATTACCAACAAAGTTTTCAAAACAGAAATAAAAGCTGTGTTTTTCGTTTATTTTTCTTTGCAAAAAGGGAAATAAATACCAAATAAGCAATTTTTCCTTCTTGTTTTCTGTCATTTTTATTGGTGATATTTTTATTACGAGGGTCTAATGGGGCAGTCAATAATATTGACTTAAGTCTGTAAAATTGTCAATAAAATTGACTTGTTGAAAATATTGGGTATAGTATTGACTCCGGTCAATAGTATTGACTCCGGTCAATAGTATTGACTTCGGTCAATAGTATTGACTTCGGTCAATAGTATGGACTCCAATAATTGTCATTGTCATTGGAAATTCAACAAATTCAAATCTGTAATTTTTATGTATTTATCACGTTTTCTTAACTGCCTTTCCTACCCTCCCTATTTAAGCGTTTTATATTCCTTTATTTTTTATTTTATTTGTAAACAATTTGCTTTTTGATAGCAAAGAAAAAGCACGCTATTTTTCTTCTTGCTGTTGTTTTTGTATTTGTATTTTTTTTACGGGTAAGAAAAGTCATATTTCTAGCAGTGCGCCCGTTCACAACTCTGGTTATTTTGTTTTCGCAACTGAACGGATTTTATTCACTTTGCGGCATTAAAACAATCAACAACAAATCATTTCTATTTCGCGTGTTTCTGAAAAAAGTACGACTAATTGTTGTCACCTCTCTGTTTTTCTTTTGACTGTGTGCTGGGAAAAGTTTCCTAAACATTTCGCGTTAACGCCAAAATATTTTAACTTATGTGTGAATAATGAACATCAAAAACTTAAAATTCCATAGCAAAATGTTTTGACAAATCCAAAAAAAAAAAAAAAACACAAGGAGAATTTAAATTGACCAAAACAATTTCTGTAGAAATTTAAAACGAAGTGTGAACATAACTGAAATAAATATAAAAACAAAACTAACAAACAAACAAAACATGTCCAAAATCGTCAAATTATTTAAAAACAATAAAAAAGACAAACCGCCAAAGGCGGAGATCATCACGGAGCAAAAAGAACCCGAGCCAATACCAACGACGAAATGTGGCAAGCCATTAGTGTTGGATAATACACGATGGGAGGCAAGTAGTTTTTTTTTTTTTTTGAAAATGATTGCAAATAATTAATTAAAAGCAAAAAAAAAAAAAAGATACGTAACTTTTTAAATGGAATTAGACCTTTGGACTGCATAAAATATACCGGTATATATATACCCTATGTCAGAGGCACAGTTAGGAGCCGTCGGCGAAATGTTAATCTGAATCATTTTTAAAACAGTTGTGGAGCCCTAGTTTTGTTAAGGATTATTTTTAATAGACCATCGGGGGGTAGTAGTAAACTATTTTCAAGACCATCTTGAGGCCCATAAACGTGGATTTTTTAAACAAGACCATCTTTTGGTCCAATAACGAGGATGTTTTTAACAATTTTTAAGGACCATATGTAGATAAAAATTGCTCCTTTTTTAGTCTTTCTTTTAGAGACTAATTTTAGGTCTATAAAGTGAGTGTTTTGACAATTATACAAGAACATCTTCGGGTCCACAGTTGTAGTTTTTTAACAATTCTCAAAGACAATTTTCGGGTCCATAAACGTGGATTTCTTAAATAATTTTCTTATACTATTTTCCGGTCCATAAAGAACAATTTTCGAAACAACTATCTACGTCCATTTTACGGTCCATAAACGTTGATTTTTAACAATTTTAGTCAATTTTTTAAACAATTTTCAAGGACCATCTTCAGAATCATAACAGCTATTTTTTTTAACAATTTTCGAAAACCTTTTTTAGGTCCATAAACTTGGACTTATAAACAATTTTCATGGGTCATCTTCAGGTCCATAAACGAAGATTTTCTAAAAATGATTGATTTTGGCTGAATGATTTAAGAATAGCCAAAGTTAATTACTTTTTTAAACCCATTAGCAACTTAGATTGTGCATTAGAGTCCTCATAAGTCCCCCTAATCATGTCAGTCTGTTTGTCCGCCAAAAGGTGGACTTGAGAGGGTATTATAACATGGCTAAAAATTCTAAAATTTGTAGATATGTTGAAATTTTAGTGTAAGATTTTCACCCCCCTAATACGCATTATTAGCCAAATTCTTTGAAATGTGGTTAAATTAGGAGGTACCTTCTTTATATGGGCACTACTCCGAAACATCGACCTACATTGAAAACTTTCTTCTACCCCTTATAATCCAAGATGACAAATAGAGGCCAAATCAAAAATATAGCAGAACAATATAGCATGTCATAGAATTTCGCGTGATTTAAATGAGTAAAAATAGTTTTATCCACCTCATAATTGAGGGCAGAATGATAAGATGGGAATTAATTTTATTTGCCATTTAAATTGTAAGTTGGAGACCCCTTAAATTCCATATTTTCATCATAGGATAATTCAATGATGATTAAACAAATATTCGGTCCCGTGCTACTTTCTTATATTTGTAATTTGTTCATGTTTCCACAATTTATTTCATATGGATGCACATCCCAAATCTACGTTCCCAACCAATATTCTCTTGGGGGTTAAAAATTCAATAGAATACAAAATGTTCTTTTCTGACCACACATTAGATGTGAAAGTGGACTTGGGGATACTCCAATGTGGGGACTTTACTTAAATAAATTCCTATGTGGCAATTATCTGTATGATGGTTCCATTGAAAATGTTTTTTTGATTTTTGCAATGAGATCTCTTTTTCATGATTTTTCAGCGATTTAGAAAAAGTAATTATCTTTGAACTTTGGTGTGACCGCGTTAAATTATTTCGATATCATCTATTCCGTTTCGCCACCACATAATTCGCTACTACACTTCCATGTAACCCGCCATCAATTTCAGTTCTCAAGAAATCAAGTCAATTAAATAAATTGGTATAAATATTCGAATTCAAAAATAAAATATAAAAAAACACTACAAATGTACATTAGAAAAAAGTAAGTCAAAATGGAAAAAAATCATGCAAAATAAAACATTACTATTGTACATTTGAAAAGTCAAAATGAAAATGTTAATATATCACATTTTTACGCGATTTTTTTGGATATTATCCTTTTCGGAGAGTAGACAACTCCGAATTTGTGTGAATCGTTAAAATTAATCCAGCGGTTCTTAAGTTATAAGCGTAACACAACTTACATTTATATATATATATATATATATATATATATATATATATATATATATATATATATATATATATATATATATATAATAATAATAATATATATATATATATATATATATAATATAGAAGAAGATAGATAGGAAGTGTCCGAAGATATATATATATATATATAATAATATATATATATATAATATAGAAGAAGATAGATAGGAAGTGTCCGATACTTTGTCAGCAAAAAGTTCACAGTCCACCTTCAAATTTTAGATTCGTTCCAACAGTTCGTATTAGGTCTTTTTAGTACTCAAAATATGCACACTTTGTTCAATAAAAAAATTAATCAAGAATTCATACATCGTACTAAATTTTCGGACTTTCCACCACCATATCTAAACCCTACAATTTAACATTGACCTCAATATTAAATTTCAGGATTCCAGCTCTATCCATTTACTCAACGGTTGACTTAGTAGTTAGTAATTTTTGAACAAATATATAACGAATTTCCAGGCAACCGCCAAATTTCAAACATAGATATAATCAGTATTCTAAATATCAAATTTCAGAATTTTATATCTTCAGTAGAGAATAAATTTAGTACCATTTAGTACTTTTCGTACAATTAAAGCACACAATTCCAAAACCACATCTACAGGGTAAGATAAAAAAACTGCCACAAAGTCAAATGCCATAATTTTTACATTTTTTTTAATTTTATTGAATGAAAGCAAAAAATGTCGGAAATAGTATCAAATTTTAGAATAAGTTTAGATTTGTTCAATGAAACCGTCATACGCTGCCCGAATGTTGTTCTGCGGTATTTTGGCCCATTCCCGGCAAAGCACTTGCTTGAGGTGATCGACACTTTGGTATTTTTAGTGCCAACCTTGCTTTCCAAAATACTCCAGACACAATAGTCCAACGGATTGGTATCCGGGGCTTTTGGTGGCCATTGTGCGCTGAAAATAAAGCGAGGAACCTCATTTTGTTCTGAGTCCTGTTGGAATGTCCAAGGTCTGCGGCCAAAATGTTTGCGTGCCCAAGACTTCAATAGACCCCCAGAATATATTCGGCATTTTTTCTGATGCCATGGTCAATTAATACAAGCGGAAAGCGACCATCGGCTGTTATGGCGGCCCACACCATCGCCATGGCCGGCGCTTAAGTTCTGGTGGCCAACCGAATGTGCACATTTTCAGCTTAACTCTTTGGCAAGTAAACACGATCATTTTGTTTGTTTACAAACTGCTGGACAACGAATGTTTTCTCATTGGAGAAAACCAAATTCGGCAGTTCACCACTTTCGGCCAAGCGAAGCAACTCTTTAGCTCTTTTCTGTCTATTTTCTTTCTGTTGCGGTGTAAGTTCTTGCAATTTTTGTAATTTCAATGGCTTTTCCCCGAGCTCATTTTTCAATATTTGCCGAATGGAATATTGCGATATGTTTCGGCTACTGCGACGCGGGTTTTGATCAAGTCGCTTCTTTACTTTTCGAGCCATTTCTGCTGATGTTGCTGTTTTCTCCCGTCCACTTCCTTGACGTCGGGCTACGCTACGAGTATCACGGTAACGAGCGATGGTACGAGACACAAAACATTTATTCACATTTAATTGCTGGGGGGCTCTAACGATAGCCACTTGTGGTTTTCCGGCCAAATATAAAGAAATCACACTATCACGCTTGAATTCCATCACGAATAATTTTTTTTTTTGGAAAATTCTCTCCAAAATGCTTCTGTACGCTTGTAAACAATATAATGAGCTGTCACTGGAACAATTTTAACAGCTGTCGGACGATTGGCTTAGAAATGACAGCAATCTGAACTTGGTTGCAGTTTTTCCATCTGACCCTGTAATGGTACCTCCCTATTTTCGCTATTTTTGTGATTTAAGCGACATTATTCACGGGAGTTGTTTCAAATTTGGTATTTGAAGTTCGTAACTGATACTACAGCATATGACAGAAAATTGTCTGTACAGGTCCACATCTTCATATAGCCCCCATATAACGGCACCTCTCGATATTCGGTATTTTGATGATTTTAGGGACATTATTCAACGGAAATATTTCAAATTTGCTATTTGAAGTTCGTAATGGATACTACAGCCTATGGCAGCAAATTGTCTGTGCAGGTGTACGTCTTCGTATAGCCCCCATACAACGGTACCTTCCTATATTCAGCATTTTGATGATTTTATCTAAATTATTCACCGAACTTTTTTCAAGTTTAGCATTTCAATTTTTTTGCAATGGCTTATGACAAAAGTTGCTTATGAAGGTCCACTTCGTCGTATAGACCGTCATTCGGTATTTTTAAAATTTTAAAAGAATTTTTAAGGGATTTTATTTTTTAAAATTGTCATATTCGTTCCAAATGGTGGAGGGTATTCAAAGTTCGACCCGGCAGAGCTTACAGCTTTTTTCCTTTTTTTATATTTTATTAATTATAGCTTAGATGGGAAATTGCAAACTTTAATGGCATATTTTCAGGCGTAATATGCAAATCGTGGAAGGCTATGAAGGTAACTCATTATACAGTCGGATAGAAGGACGGAATCAGCCAAATTAAGGCTAATTTACACATTATGTCAGAGCAAAGTGACGTTTTCACACTTATATTTAGCAAAGGTTTCTTTATTAGCTTAAAAATTGTGGGGCGCCTAAAAGTATGCTATTACGAGTGATTTAGTCTCTAGCTTACAATTCTAGGTTACATGGTAGACACATGCAATTTATTAACGCAATTTCTGGTCACAATTTGCAAATGTTGCAAACCGAATGTCAAAATAGCCAACCAGCCCCACCCCATTCTATCTATTCCTGAATGAGTCCAATATGCGCAATATGTTGAGGTTCAAGTGTTATTTTTTATTAGCTCTTCCTTTGAACAGCTACTTAACATTTCAGTTTGTTTTTTTTTTTTTTTTTTTTTTTTTTTTTTTTGTAAATAATGCATTTTCATTGTTCGATTAGTAAAAAAGAAAACAACACCACAAAAAAACAAACAAACAAAAAACAATGAAGGGTGATATACAACACGTACTCCAAAGCTCACTTGAACTGATATCATATAATAATAATGCCTAATCAATGTTTACGATATGCAATATAGTTATTTATATTTGCCATCACATCATTGTTGTTTCTATTTCCAATTGTAATTCCCCTCTTTAAACTCTAAACCCTATACCCCGGGTGTGGTGTTACCATGTTATTCAGGGTTAGATTCTTGTTTGAAGGTATTTACTTCAATGATGGAGAACTAGAATAACCAGCAAGTCACAGAAAGCCTTTTAGGAAAAATACTCCTGTAAAACATCTTCAGCTTATGGAGAACCGAGGAAATTCTTTTAGAAAATTTCCATTTTAGGAAAAATCATAGAAGAGTTGAAATTGTTTATTTTCAGTTGTCTTAAAAAGCTCATTAGCCTAGGGTACATTGTAGTCGACTTGACGAGCTGTTGATCAATTTTTATACCCTACAACACTATGTGTTGGGGGTATTATAAGTTTGATTGGGCCAAAAATTATGTAACGCCTCGAAGTATTGGTTTCCCACATAGGAAAGTATATATGGATCTTCCCATCTCGCCGAACTGAGTCGATCTAGCTATGTATGTCCGTCCGTCCGTCCGTCCGTCCGTCCGTCTGTCCGTCTGTCCATGTTAATTTATAATCAATCTACAGGTCGCAATTATGGCCCGATCTTCACGAAATTTAGAATGGAGTTGAGGCTAGAGGCAGAATAGAACCCTATTTCTTTTGGAAATGATCGCACAATGCTTAGGGGTTGAAATGGACCAAAAATTTTTCCTGATTTTCAGTTGCTCTACAGGTCGCAATTATTGACCAATCGACGTGGGAGTTAGCATGGCGCTACAGCTTAGGGTTGGGCAGAAGCCCTCCAATTTTAATGGTAATCGGGTAATATTTAGTGGGTGAAATAGACCATAACATTTTTGTTAAATAAAAGTCAAATTTTCCAGAAAACCGCGGATATTTTTAATCCGGGCGAAATCGCAAATAGACGAACAGGTCAATCCTGACCGTTACGTAGATGCAGATAGTAAATATATCGGATATATATAGCGAAATATGTACAATGTGTGTATACAGAGGAGGGGATGTTAGCTAGAATGCTTATATCTCAAGAATTTGACAAATTTTGTCAATTCAGAATGCCCTCTTGGCATAAAAGAATAAAATCTAAAAAAAATCGCATAAAAAGATGCCAATAATGATGTTAATATAGATTTTGTAGTATTTTGTGACATTTTTTTCATATTTTTTATCGCATGCGATTTTTTAACATTGACTTATAATATTGAACTGTTTGTTTTGTAATATTTTTCACCTTACAACACAGGTTGGGGATATTATATACATATTGCAATTATCGTCCGATCCTCACGAAAATTTTCACAAGGGTAGGGTTAGGCTCAGAAGGGCTAGGCCTATTGTTTTCAAAGATGTCCGCAATATATTTGGGTGTTTAAATGGACCAAAAACAGAAAAAAAATCCTGATCACACAATTTAAGTCAATCGACACGCTTAAGAAGAGTGTTAAGGATAGGGAAGAATTGTAGCATTTTGGTTGACCACTGGATTATATTTAGCTATAAAATGGACCACAACAACTAACAGCACGAGGGAGTGTGTAAATATTGGGCAAATGTCCCTGTTCAAAATGCTAAGACTAATATCTGGTCAGTGCTCCGTGACATAATTTCAAAAGCGAAATCTTCCAAAATAGATTTGGACATAAAGGGACTTCTAACATATTGTAGTGTTGTAGGGTATCACATGGTCGGCCCCGCACGGCTATAGCCTTTGCTTACTTGTTATTAATTACTTTATTACGTCCCAATGCAACAAAAAAAGAAAGAAACCCGCCTTTATTAAAAAGCAACCCAAATGCAATAATGAACTTCAAATCTAATAACAAAACCAAAAACATTCATTACCAAGTTCACCTCTACTTTTTTATTCATTCACACATAAGTCGCTATTCCATCCCTACCCTCCCAAGAGGCCCAATAACCCCACTCATATTTTATTATTAAAACTGAATGATAATACAAAATTTATCTTATCTAATCGCCTACCACCTTCCCACTTTAATAACACACAAAACAAATTGGTAACGGGTGATCACAGAACCAACCATTGACGTCCATACAAAAAAAAAACGTGTCGCTGTGGTTGTTGTTTTTTTGCTGTAAGCTCTCTTTATGCCATTGTTTTTATTTATTTGCAATTTGATAAAAACAATTTTTTGTGTGTGTGACACCTTTTTTCTTACCTTGGTGAAAGTCTAAAATTTCCAAAATCAAATGTCATTGCATTCAAAATTACGTCTTGAAATTTTCACCAATGACGTCAATGACTCTTACGCTATCAAATGAAAGAGCAATGACAATGACATGTGTAAATGAATGCGTCATAATTATATTGTTGATGACTAATTTAAGGTTTTTTCTAATAAGATTTAGCAATAAGATAATTTTCTTTGAAAATCTAATTTGTTTTCAAATTTCTTTTGTTTTTTTTTTTTACAGAAACGTCTACAAAAGGAACTCATGTCCCTTATCAAAGAGCCCCCACCAGGCGTCTCTGTCGATGAGGACAGTGTGACTAGAAATTTATCACAGTAAGTTTGTATTTCAAATTGACAACAGAAAACTATGTACTACCAGTTTTAATTATTTTTCAAAAAATCATCTACAGGACCAGAAACGTGAAGGTTTTTCAATATTTTTCAAAAGTCATCTTCATAAACGTGGAATTTTAGAAGTTTTTCAAAGGTTATCTTCAGGTACATAAACGAGGATATTCTAATAAGGTCTATATTACCATCTGCAGGTCAATAATTGTGGAAATTTTTTAATATTTTTCAAAGACAACCTTAGGTTCATAAACATGAACTTTTAAAACAATTCTCGAATATCGTCGACAGGTCCATAAACGTGGATTTTTTAACCATTTTCAAAGATACTCTCCAGGTCCACAAACGTGGTTTTCCCCCATTCAAAGATACTCCCCAGGTTCATGAACGTGGTTTTCCCCCCATTTAAAGATACTCTCCAGGTTCATAAACGTGGTTTTCCCCCATTTAATGATACTCTCCAGGTTCATAAACGTGTTTTTCCCCCATTTAAAGATCCTCTCCAGGTTCATAAACGTCGTTTCCCCCATTTAATGATACTCTTCAGGTTCATAAACGTGGGTTTTCCTCATTTAAAGATACTCTCCAGTTTCATAAACGTGGTTTTCCCCTATTTAAAGATCCTCTCCAGGTTAATAAACGTGGTTTTCCCCCATTTAAAGATCGTGTTCTATTCCAAAAATTATTGTTTTTCTAAAATAACTTTTAAAGACCATTTCAAGTGCAATATTGTAGATTTTTTGAAGACCTCCTTCAGGTCTATATTCCTTTCGATAAGCGGGAAGTTTAAAATAAATTTTGCGGATTTCTTTGAATTATTTTCAAAAATTATTCTATAAATTTTTCAAACAAACAATTTCCAGGACCATTTCCATGTCCATAAACGTGCGTTTTTTAAACCATTTTTAGAGACATCTTCCGGTCAATAACATAGTTTTTTTTTAACGATCTTCTTCAAGTCTATAAACGTGGATTTTTTGAACTAGGATTTTTAAACAAATTTTAAAGACCTTCCTTAGGTCCAGAAATAAGGATTTTTCAAATAGTTTTTAAAGCCCATTTTGAGGTGAATTCATGTAGATATGCGAAAGTTTCCGAAAGATCTGTAGACGTGGACTTTCCGAAAGATCCGTAGACGTGCACTTTTAAATATCGTTTAACCCATCTTCAGGTAGAAACGTGGATTTTTTAAATATTCTTTACAATACATCTTCAGGTCAATAAACATAGGTTTCTTCTTTTAGGATCTTCTTCAGTTCCATAAACGTGGAATATTTGAATAATATCCAAGGAGTATTTTCAGGTCCAAAGAGGTGCATTTTAAAGACAATTCTCAGTTCCATGAACTAGGATCTTCATGCAAATTTTAAAGACATTCTATTCAGAAATAAAGATTTTTTAAACAGTTTTGAAACCCCATTTTGGGGTGCATATATGTAGATTGTAAAAGTCCACCTTCAGGACCATTAAATCGGATTTTTAAATATTTTTTAAACCATCTTCAGGTGCAAACATGGATTTTTAAACATTTTTTACAATACATCTTTCGGTCCATAAAGGTGGATTTTTCAACAGTTTTTAAAGATCATTATCAGCTTTGTAAACGTGGATTTATGAATATTTTCTCAAAGAACACTTCAGGTCCATAGATGTGGATTATATTTCTTAATTTAAGGCCATCTTCAGGTCCAAAAACCTGAATTTTAAAAAAAGTTTTAAGCCATCTTTTTAATTATTTCTTTTCCAAAGAGCTCCTTTAGATCCATTGACGTGAATTTTTCTTAATTTGAGACCATATTCAGGTCCAAAAACATAAATTCTAAAGAAAATTACACAATTTTTTACTAAGCCATCTTTCTGTCCATTTTCAAGTTCATATACGTGGTAACCCAAACCCCTTAATTGTTATATCCACAGCCATATGGCTACAGAGAGAAGGTATATATCAGTTGATACGACCAAAACATGCTAATGGACCAAATTTGGAGTCGATCTGGGGTGGCCGTCCATATGTCTGGTTGGTGCGCGCCATGATTCTTGAAGAAGTATCGCATTTGGTCCAAAGTTGTTAAATCGTATTAATATCAAACTTAAAGCAAGTTCGGAGAGTTGGCAATATCGATTCACTAATTTCTGGTACCTCCTCTACAAAGGGTCAAAATTTTGAATGTTCATGAAGCTCATGAAACACGAAATTGAAATCAAATTCTATTCAGATTTGATACATCTCAATATTTTCATCAAAACCTAATCTGTTATAAAGATGGTAGAGATGGGACCATTTCTTCTGGTAACTCCCCCACACAAGGTTCAAGATTTTGAAAAACCAAGCGCTCAAAGAAAGAGAAATAAGCATTCAACTCTCCACACATACAAACATTTGTGACAACAAAAGATCTGTTGTGAAAATTATATATATCTGCGAACCTTTTCTGATACCTCGCCCACAAAGGGTCACAATTTTCAATAATTTCAGCCGTCATAACTTGCGAAACAAATTAGCGATTCTTTAGAACTTCTTATACCTAAATATTTCTCTTAACCAGAAACCTGAGATGAATATGAAACTTTTGATTTTGAATAAAATTAAATATAAATGTTCGATTTTCCATTCCAATATTTTTATCTGTATTAGATGAAGTATGAAAATGGAATACTTCGGTCAGCTATATCTGTTAACTTACGCATATTTTCACATTTTCCAAAAATTTGTAAAAAAAAATTGTAAAACATAGGAAGTAGTCGATATAGTCCAAATTTGGTACGTTGTAATATTTATATCAGTCTTAGGTCAGACTGCTTCGGAAGGGTAAACAATTTTAATAATCACAACTCAAGGATGGGGGTATACATCTGTCGGCAAAACCTACTGATACTATTTTATTTGTTTTTTTTTTTTTTAAATTCCAAAACTTCTTAATACACTTTCAATGTAATTCATTTTTATTAATGATTTCAATATTTTTAATTACACTTTTTTATAGATGGAAAATCAACATAACCGGCTTTGAGGGTACTCTCTATGAAGGTGAAAATTTCCAACTGCTGTTCAAATTCAATCATAAATATCCATTCGATTCACCGGAAGTAACCTTCATTGGCAATAATATACCCGTGCATCCGCATGTCTATTCAAATGGTCATATCTGCCTATCAATACTCACAGAAGACTGGTCACCGGCATTGTCCGTGCAATCGGTATGCCTAAGCATAGCATCGATGCTAAGCAGTTGTCGTGAAAAGAAACGCCCGCCAGACAACACTCTGTATGTGAACACATGCAACAAGAATCCTAAAAAGACTAAATGGTGGTATCACGGTAAGTGGTCAAAGGAAACGCAAACTTATGGAATTTGAAAATAACCCCTTTTTGTTTTATTTCAGATGATTCCGTTTAGTTAGATGTTAAACTGAAGCCCCACACACTCGCCTGGGCTTTGCTGTGTTATCCATACAAGGTGCTGGAACAGGAATTACAACAAGAAATCAATGATATCATCACTGTAAAATCTAAATTGTCTGTGCAACAAATTCGCCGGCGTCTGAAAAGGTTACTCCTGAAACGTTTCAAACGAACGTTTGTGAAATTGTTCAAAACATGTTTACATCTTAAATATTTATAAGGACAGAGTTATGGTTCGTTCTAATACAAACCAAACCAAACCATAACGCACCCTTTTCTGCCTCAATTCATTTCCCCTATCCCCCCCGGCTGTATTTTGTGTGAACAAGTAATTTTGCAATTATGATTATAAATTAACATTGAATTAAGAAATATATATATAAATTCGGTGATCTCTCCAGTTTAGCTTTTGATTGAAAGTTCTGCAAGCGTTTGGAGTTGTCGTCTGTAAGGCACCATTTTCGTTTTTCTTATTATCTAGCATCGTGTTAATGTTGTGATATAGTTGTGTGATGATTTCTGGTTTCTTTTAACATTTCGATCTAAAGCAAACTGCCGAACACCCCAGTATTCAAGAGAAAAATGAAAAAGAACAGACATATTAAATATAATACCACATTTCTAAACCCCTTATGATTGTATTGATTAAGTTATTATTAACAACAAAAAAAAAAAAAAAACAAAATAAAAAAAGAAGAAACTGTAATTCTAAACGCTATTATAATATATTTTTATTGTAATAATAAGATTAATTAATTAATGATAATAAAATCTAATTTATATTTATCCCATATTAAAGGTAATTTACAAAAATTTAAATTGTATTTTTAAAATTCCATGATTTTGCGGCCTAACAGATAAAGTATTAAAAAAGCATCAAAAATAATGCAATACGAAAATAATTAAAAAACAGTTTTTATTCCTAAATCCGCTTACATTTCTTCCGATCACCCAAAATGCTGGCACATTCCAAATTTTGTAAATCAAATAATGTAAATATGCTAACGAATAACCCAAAATTATGGAATATTATTTTCGTTTTATAATAAAGCTGAAATATATACGTATATCTTTAAAGAAACAAAAATATGAAAACAAAACATATGTACCTTTTTACTATATAATCCCGCAAAAACGTTTCATCTTATTCTGTTTTGATTTATATTTAATTTTTGCCTATTTTCATAATCATTTTTTGGCTTATTATGTTTTTGTTAGATACAATTACATGCTGCATATACATACATATATACATATTATAGATTCCTTATTAATTTATATAGTATCAAACATATGATGACTTATAACTATTAAGTGAAAGAAAATAAAAAACCAACAACAGTAATAACATAAATAATGGAAATAAGCACTGTTTTTTATTTATTTATTGAGCCAGGGTTGGGCCAATATTAGGTAGTTACTGGACTACCTAATATTGACCATCTGACTAATTTCAATTCACATAATTCGAAATTCAAAAATAGTTAGTCCTGAAACGGAGTAGGTTAATAAAATTTTTCTCAAATGTATATTATGTCTGCAGGACTTGAAAATGGGCCATATTGGTCCACGTTTTGGTGTAGCCCCCATCACTGAAAGAACTGTCAAAATTTCTCTCTCCAACCGCTCTCTTTTGCAGAACTTTTGGGTTAACAGACGACTTCCAGTAACAATTTGTAACAATTGTTACAAATTTTAGGGTAACCAGACACACCTATATCTGGCATCCAATAATAGGTGTGTCTGGTTACCCTAAAATTTGTAACAATTGTTACAAATTGTTACTGGAAGTCGTCTGTTAACCCGAAAGTTCTGCAAAAGAGAGCGGTTGGAGAGAGAAATTTTGACAGTTCTTTCAGTGAGAGTTTGCAAATTCTTGCTGGACAAATTTCTTCTTGCAATCACTTGCAACTCTTCTTCTTCTCATTCATCGACATCCAATCAGATGTTTTCTATTGTTTGTTTATATATTTTTATGGGGGACAAATTGGTTTGTTTTGACAAATCAGCTGATTAGTTGCAAGCTTCTGCAGGAATACCGTCTGTTTACTTTTCGCATTTTTCTTGCAAAAGAGAATAAAACTACCTTACTCTCTCAGAAAAATGTTGCTGGACAATTCCTGCAGGAAAAGTAACCAGACACACGTAATGCCACCAGCCCATAAACAATATAAGGGAATAAACAATTTTTGTTAACCCAATTTTTTTGAAATTGGCATATTTTTAAATTTTATTGTGGGTATTGATGAAATAAGATGAATATTCCTCACCTTTCATAAATTTTTGTATTTCAAATTTTGAATTAAGATTCCTTTAAAATTGGTAACTATACCCTCAGCCATATAGCTAGAGAGGGTATATATCATTTGATCCGGTGAAAACGTTTCTCATCGAAATAACGGTTTTAGACTCTAGGTCTCTTTGGACCAAATCCGTTTCAGGACATTTGAAGTGGATCTAGCGATGTCCGCCTTTCTGTCCCGCTGTTTCGCAAGATAATTTTGAATATCCTTGAAGCTCCTAAAGCGCGAGATTAACATCCAATTCCATTCAGACTTGGCACAACTCAATATTTCTATCAACCTAAGATTTGTTATAAAGATGGTAGAGATCGGATCATTTTTTCTGGTACCTCTCCCACATAGGGTTCAAGATTTTTGAAAAACAAAACGCTCAAAGAGTGCGAAGTAAGCATCCGGTTCTCTACATATTTCACACATCCTATTAGATCTGCTGTGAAGAAAGCGTCAAAATTTTGAAATGAACCTCATAAAACCGGAAATTAACATCCGATTCCATTCGAACTTGATACATCTCAATATTTCCATCAACACAAGATCTGTTATAAAGATGGTACAGATCGGACAATTTCTTCCGGTACCTCCCCCACATAGAGCTCAAATTTTTTGAAAAACAAAACGCTCAAAGAAAGCGAAATTAGCATCCAACTCTCTTCAAATTTCATACATACAATTTTTTTTAGCTCTCGCAAGGTCTTTTTTGAATGTGATATATATCTGCGAGCCCCTTCTGGTACCTAACCCACAAATTGTGAATACTTTTATTTGTCATAACTTGTGAAACTAACCGGCGATTCTTTACAACTTGCTATATCTAAATATTTATCTCAACCAGAAACCTGAGAGGAATATTTAATTTATGACTTCGCATAAAATTAGATCATTATGAGTCTCTGAACAAAAGAAATTGGTATACCTAATATTTACCATAACAATTATCGTCTGGATTGGATTATAAAACCTTTTTTGTTTTTAAAAAAATTCCATCTTTTTCCGATATGGCTGCAAATTTTCTTTAATTTAGTCTAGGTTGACGAAAATTCCAAGTGGTTTTGATAGTACTCGGTTTGTAGCTCAAAAACTCAAAAGAGTTTAGGGTTCTTAGACTAAACATCACTAAGGGCTTTATTAGCCTTCTTTACGGTACCTCCCGATATTCGGTATTTTGATTATTTATGCCACATTTTTTCACGGATTTCATGTCATAATGGGTCCCTGTGTGTGTGGCAAAACATTGCATGTAGGGGTCCACGTTTTGGTATAGCCCCCATAAAAAGGTACCTCCCGATATTCGGTATTTTAATTTTTTTGAAACTTTTTTTCACGGATTTGGAAATTGGTATTTGTAGTCATAATGGGTTCTAGCTCCGTTGGCGAAACATTGTATGTATAGGTTCATGATTTGATATAGCCCCCATATAACGTTACCTCCTGATATTCGGTATTTTGATGGTTTTTGTCACATTTCTTCTAATGTTTCCTTTACCCTAAGGTGGAGGGTATTAAAAGTTTGGCCGAACTTAATGTTTTTTTTACTTGTTATTATGTAGAAACTCTATTAGCAGAAAAGTATGTATGTAAGTCTACGTTTAGGAACAGTCCCAATTTAAAAATACCAACAAGTTTTAGTTATTGCGAGAGTTTCCAAACTACTTGGCAGCAAAATATGTTTTTTTTTTTCTTCGGAGGTAGAAGGTAGTTTGTTTACATTATCTTTTCTTGGCTATTTGGTTCTTACAGCACAAAAGTTTTCCCTTGGAATCTAATATAATCAAAGTTAAAAAAAAAACATAAATGTTTAAATTAAAGCATTTTGTTCTTACACAGTACAACATAAATTTTATTTTATATCAATTCTTTTTCATTCATAAAAAATAAAATAAATTTATTTCAGTACTCAACAAGTGATTTCCTAAGATCTATTATCTTTCCCTGCCAACATATATCTACCCAAGATTTTGTATACCCGTAACTCTGGTTCTTCAGTTTGCAACTGCAGCACCATGAAACAAACCCTGCATTGCTTCGAGTAGAGCTCGTTGACAGGCGTACGTTGCCCGATAACCACCGGCTCTTTCGGTAAGATTTTCGCCCCGGACATGAGCCATATAACCACGACTTTCAATTTCCTGTACAGGTGGTGCTGCCGGACCTTCCATGTATAGAACAGGTCTTTCGTGTATATACACGGGACCTTCTTCGACTTTTGGCACGGGTAGAAATTGATGATCTGCCGAGCGACCAAATTTAATACCCGATGAGAATTGTGTTGCCGGTTTCGGCGGTGGTGGCAATTGTTTTTCTTCTTCTCGCAATTTTTCAACTTTCACAGCAAATTCATTAACAATTGCATTTGCATCCTTGCCACTGCACATAAGCTCATCAATGAGTGCTTCCTTCTCGCGAGCTTTCTTCTTTTTCTGTTCAGCCTCTAGATTAAGTAACTCCTGCCGACGTAACTCTTCTTGCGTCTTCTCAAGTTCCAACATCTCCTCCAATTCGATTTCTTCACGACCCATACGTGTTCGGTTACGTTGTATAACTTCACGATTGTCTTTCTTGTACTGTTCTATACGTTTGTTGGTGCCAATAATGTCGATATTGTTGCATAAGTTGTATATAATAGTCTCGATTTCCTCCAAATAGTCATTGTATTCCTGCAGCGAATTGAAATCGTCTTCCTTTTTATTATAATCCCTGAGAATACGTTTACGTATATCGACTTCCTTTTCCACCATAGGATCTTCGAACAGTTGTATGCGGAAATTGTTACGTCTGAGAGCAACATTACATTGTGGACAGGAACCCGATCCCTTTAAGAAGAGCAAATCCACACAAGATTCACATAACGTATGCCCGCATACGTTGACCATCAACTTCAACGAAGGGTTACGATATTTTGTGGTTTTACATCGTGGACAGGCTTGGTCATCCATTGTGGGCAAATGGAAGGGTGTAACGTCTTTGGCTGCGAAAATCTAAAGTCAGTTTCACCTGCAAACAAAGAACATTAAATTTAAATAATGACTGTAAAAGGGAGAAAAATAAGATTTTGATTAGATTTTGTTTCACAAACAATACCATAAATCGTACAAGAAATTATTCAGAAATGTCAATATATTTCTAGATATTGCAAATGACATATTTTCTAGATTCTTAGCAAAAAAAATTAAGAAGCCGAGATTTCAGACTAAAAGCCATGGACAGACTTAAGTGGAACAAAGTCAAAATTTGAAATCTTTTCGGACATTCACGACGTAATACAAAGGAAATATCACATGGATATTTTCTAGATTTTTTTCAATCCAGTCAAATGATATAGAATCTGGCTTGGTGTCCCAGATTTGTTAAACAAGAGCAGATGAAAATCTGGTTTGTTGTCATGGTAGCATATGGCGGAAAGTAATCCTGTTGTAAGTCGTCTCTCATATCTTTTACGAATAAGGAAACGTAAAATACACTGCGATTCACCAGGTCAGTCGTTTGTTTATTCTTGGTCACTTCTTAAGAATCCAATCAGAAAAATAAATCTTTTGGCAACCCTGAAAATGTTTGTTTGATGTGTTGAACACTGTGAAACCACATACTGTAAATAAGGCAAACATAAAGAAATAACTTTAATTTTAAACAATTTATCACTTACCCTTCTAATTCCTTCTCTACTGGAACCTTTCTCAATAGAGAATTCTCGGAAAGGTCAATTTGTTTCTTAAAAAGCAAACGTACTCCAGTCGTTTGTTGTTCTGCAACGAAGTAGTTCAAAAGCAATATTCACAAAAAGGAATTCATAACAATATCACTTTCCATAAAGTGTCCGTGCCGTTGAAAAACTATCAACGGCGGCATAAAAAATCCGGTAACCAATCAGTTGTTAAGAATTTCATGAGCTGTTAACACGGCGTAACACAGATATGGCGTTTACACAAGACAATAATTGAAAGGCATAAAAATAGAATGTATAAAATGTTCATTCGTAATTTCGTTCATTTTCAACTGTCACAACAACAAATACTTTTAAGAAATACTAAATTCACAGGATGTTTTTTGTTTCGTAGTCGTCCCGGCAATTTCTATGTTTTTATCTATTTTATACTCCGTTATGTACTTGTTTAGCCTATTAAACAATATCCGACTGTTTATATGTTTGTAATATCAAAGAATTTTAGCATAGGTTATGAACCTTTCATATGGGTAGTCGCATCAACACAGCTACTTGGAAAATGAACACTTTTTGTAGCGAAATAAATCTTTAGAGATGTATAGAACAAAATTTTGAAAAGAAATGTGGGGGGTGTTAGCTTTGTTCTGTTTTATGTAATTTTTCCATGATTTTATCCAAAATTTTCATCGGAATATAGGTCTACGTTTCGGTAAAACCATCCTGCAATGGTAGTATGGAACGTGTCAAAAATATCCGCGATATTGCCTTAAATTCGAGTCGTTGTTTTTTATTTGTAATATTCTGTTATTGCCAAAATTGGCAAATCAGAAATTCGCTTCAATAATATTATGTCGGGGCGAAACGTTTTTTTCGCTCTAACAAATAACAAATGTTGACAATAAATGTAGGTGAAGAGTTGGTGACTCTAAACACACTAGATTAACCCACTGGTAGTATGATACTCCAACTCATTTCTTAAGTTACCGACAAACATCGGTAACTTTGAAACCAAAAATTTTGATATTAAAATAAGTTAAGGTTGACAACATTGGTATCTATGGGAAACTTACCGACAACTTATCTACAAATTTCGTTAATTACCGATGCTAATAATCATTTTAATTTTACCGACTTTTGTCGGTAACTCAAAAAATGAGTTGGAGATTTCCTAATAAACAAAGTGGGTTAACCTTCAAAAGCATAAATGTGCTATTAGTGTCATATTTAAAGCATGGTAGACATGGTAGAAGAATATAGGTAGACGCATCGACACAGCTGCTGGGACAATGAACTGTCAAACCAATTTTGTAATTGAAAATGTTGAATGGAAATTTATTTAAATTTGTACAAATTCTTGAAAAATGCATATCATAAAACCTTCAATTGGCGTAGTATAAGAAATGTTATAAAAATCTATTTATTTTTGAAAAAATTAAAATTTTTTTGACATATCAAAGTTCCCAAGCGTTGATGCATCTACCTGCATTCTTCTACCATGCATGGTAGAAGTATATAGGTAGACGCATCGACTCAGCTGCTGGGACATGAACTGTCAAACCAATTTTGGAATTGAAAATTTTGAATGAAAAATTATTTCAATTTGTAAAAATTGTTGAATAGCGCGTAGTATAATAACCTCCTAATGACGTCGTATGAGAAAACATATAAAAATCTACTTATATTTGAAAAGACATTTAAAATATTTTGACACATCAATGTTCCCAAGCGTTGATACAGCTACCTGTTTTTTTCTACCATGTATTTAAAGTGGCTTTTCCACATTTGTATTTATCATTATTGTATCATACTTTTGGGCACTCATCCCCATTTTTTAATCGTATCTTTGTTGTAATAATAATTAATATGCTTTAAAAATTGTGAATGTAAAATGTTATTACCTAATTTTGGAAATAATATCACTAAGTTGATACCATAGTGGCAGGTCGTAAATGTGTTACCATACATTTGTACTATCAAACCCTCAACTTACCACTGCTTATAATAAACCCTTTTATTAAAAAAAGATCATGTGTTTAACATTTTCATAATTTATTAAATCGTTTTTGTTTTTATACATTGAAGGGATTAATAGCTTTAAATACATTATTTTATATATATATACTATACTACATATATGCAAGTACATGTGTGTATATGTTTTACATTTTTCAATTTCAATTTATGTGAAGATGTTGAATAACTATTGAATCATTATATAATATACATATTTATATATTTGTTAATTTATTTTTAATGTCTATATTTTACACATTGTATTTTATAATCATTTAAATATTTTTATTGAGAACATTTGATTTATTTATTCATTTGTATAGTAGGATATATATTTGAAAACACAGTATATAATGTACATGGAAAGAAGATTGAGTTAAGAGATATGGGGCTAACTACAATATTACAAGCTATGTTATATGTTTCCATTATCCAATCCATGTATTAAGCAGCTGTATTTTGATAAAGGTACATTTATAATAATCATATATGTATATACATATTTTATGGAATTTGTTTGTTTACACAATCTATGCTACGGTTAAAAAGAAGCGGACATAGCCTTCGTTATTTTGAATAATGGTAAAATGGGGTGGTGGTAAAATGGATTTTTTCGATAGTATTTTTGGCACATATTAAATTAAGTGATGTCGGATATGTTTTTTACATTTAAGCAATATTCAATAGGCATTTAGTGTCCATCAAATGAAATGTAAATCTTATATTCAGTCCTTGAAAATTCATATTTTTTTATTAAATATCACATGATCGCCAGGATAAGAAATTTTCAATTTACATATTTAATAAGTTAAAATGTATTACCCACTCTCGGGAAACAAAGCTGATTGCCACTGACTGTGCACAAAAGTTGCGGATAGTGGAAGGCTCTAAAGATATATTGGGTAGCTTCGAGTTTAATTACAGTGGCGTCCCTTTAGCAACCAGTCTTACAAGTTGCGATTCCATCTGTGGTGCGATTTTCTAACTCATTTGTTGAGTTACCGACAAAAATCGGTAACTTTGAAACCCATTGGTAGGTCTCAGCGACTACTTTGATTTCGTCGTTAACTTACAGACATGACAGTGATACGTTATGCCATGGCTGCCCTTAGTACCACCATTTCGACATGTTTTTTTTGGATAATCACCCTTATTCTATTTGTCGACGTTTCCTCAAGTTACGAAGTACGAAATTAGTTATACCATGCCAAAAGTGAGGCGGTGAGTGGCTCCACACCGCGAAAGAGGTAGAATCTGTCAGAACTTCTGCAAGAGTGATCCTTGAGAGTGTTCCAGAGGCAATAATCCCTGCTTATCCGACAGTGAAATGAAAATGACCGCACTGGCCACAGTTAAATTCTCAACTCTGGACATCCACATTATATATATTTAGGGATTAAAACTCAGCTGGTTCCGACAAGCTACCACACTCGAGGCAGAATGCTGGTGTGTAATGGAGGGCGCAGGAGAGTTCTCTCCCCTAAGATTCAACCACCCAGAGCAATAAGTCCCGAAAATAAAATCGGATATAAGAGATCCATCACTCACTGGCACAGGTTTGCTGACAGCAAAGCTGAATTTATGAAGATTAGGTTGAAGCTAAAGAAGTTATCCTCACGTACCTAAATGCTCAATCTTAATCGACACAAAATAAGTCCCGAAAATGAAAGGATAAAACCGGATATAAGAGATCCATCACTCACTGGCACAGGTTTGCTGACAGAACCTCAAGCTAAATTCATGAAGCTTACGTTGAAGCTAAAATACAAAGAAAATCCGGAAGAAGGTGTCCTCACGTACCTAGATGCTCAATCGCAATCGACCAAAAAACCTGATGGGAAAATCCCAAACATCAAAGATCGAAGAGGTAACCACTTTCATCAACGATGATAGGTTACTTCTAGTTCAGTGGACCTAGCAACAAAGTCTCTTTGAAGCCGATGTCACCTATGTAGTCTCCGGGAAAAGGATGAAAGGCGTTCGGGCCGCAACTCAATATAGAGAGAGGTAATGGACTTTCAATCTCCAAGTAAGCTGGGAACCCAAGGAAATGACAATGTGATGTACACCAAAAAGGTTGCGCATTGGGTCCTTGGGCGTAACCGACCAATTGCAAAGAGGAAGGAAAAATCAAGATACCAATACTCGGACACACATGTCGGGGAAGGCAAGACTCCCACGAAAACCTTCGCGATTGATTGTCCCAGAATATCTTCTGGTCACCTAGCTGATTGCGTCTGAGAAAGTCACTTTCTGATGAAGTGGATAATTAGAAGCACGACAATTAAGGTGATAGTACAAAAACAGCTTGAAGTCTTTGCATGGCATATTTTGTGACATATCATAAAGGGATGCCAGAGCCGCACTCAAATTCGTTTCCCTTTATAATTTAACATTAATATGCCTAGCCATGATACCAAGCTGCTTGTGTACCCTTACCTTAAACGCCATGTTTTAAAAGTTTTTCAAAATACTATCATTTCATTGGAAAATTAAACCGACGTTTAAGGAGAAAAGTTTTCGACTATTATTTCTTTGAACATCCAACATTCCAATCATGTGGTATTTAACATAAAAAATGTATCCCTTTTACTTTTTTTTCACATATATATGCATTTATTTATATTTTCAATACATCTCGTATTAGAGTTATCTATACATCTATTACATTATTTATAATATATATATGTATATCAGAAAGAAAGCTTTGTTTTTTTTTTTAAATTGCATGAATATACATAGATTTAGTGTTTCGTTTTTTTTTTCAATTTAATATTATTTTACAGTTGCATGGATTAGGTTTGGTATAGCCTAACCTAAAGTGACGTTTATATATAACTAATGAAACTCAACAAAATATATAAATTTGTTCTGGTTTTAAATAATAACTAGCCTAAGTAGTATAATTACAATTTTGCTTTAATACATGGATGGGTACATAATAACATGTGTGTGTTTATATAATATGTATGCAATAATATTTAAAAAAATTGGAAATATAATTTTGTTAATTACAATTAAAGTTTCTTTTTATTTTGTTATTAAGTCAAAAAAGCATTTAAAACATTGTTTGTTTTTTTTTTCCTTTAATGTATTTCTTTTTCGTTTAAGTTAAGTTTTATAATTTGTGTAAAGCTATCGATTTAAATAATTTTCATTATTCAAAACCGAATCACTGTAAATATCACAATTTTTTTTAGTTAACATTATACGTGCACTTATTATCTATGATAATAGAATGAAGTAATTAATAATTGTTTGCTATTTAATAAAATGAAGAAACAAATAAAATTAAAAAAAAAAGTAAAATTTTATTATATAATGTACATTATTATGTTGTTATTTGTTTTCTTCTTTTGTTTGTATGTTTGTTCATATGTAATATGTATTTCAACAATTCTGTAATTTTGCGTTTCTATTAAGTTTTAAAATTTATTTGGGTTGCTATATCATTTTTGTTATACTGATAATATAATATCTAAGTTTTCTTTTTGTTGTTGTTGTGTTTAGATAAGAAATATCGTATTGTTTTGTTGTTTGTTTATTGGATTTGATTTAAGTTTTCTATTCTTAATTTGTTTCATTTGTTTAACTAGCATTATTTTTTGTTAGTTTTTGTTTTTTTTATTTAACATAAAATCCAATTTTATAGTTCTGCTTTTATGTTCGGTTATGCCTATATATTTTACTTAAGCTTAATAATATTTTTTAATTTTAAAAATTAAAAAAATATATTTTTGTTTTGTTATTTAAGAGGGATATACATAACTAAAATGTTTATACATTGAAATACTATGTGAAAAATAACTGCAGTCGTATATATTTTATTAGTTGAGGCTATAAAGAGAAAAGAGAAATAGAATTTGAAATTAGTAATATATTTAATAACTTATATTATATACGGAAAATTTTATATGTTTTATATATTAATAATATAAAATTTTCTATACTTTGAGAACCATAAATACCAAGTTGTAATCCATAAATTTTAAAAATGTGACTAGGACCTTGAAAATACCAACAAATTTTCGCCAGGTAAGTTTTCTACTAATCAGAAACCATAGTGCCAAATAAAGCCAACTTCGAAGCTGAATTCATACAGAATAAGTTGAAACTAAAATACGTAAGGAAGTCCGAAAGAAGGTATCCTCACACACCTAAATGGTCGATCCTAATCGATATGATGAACCCTAAAACCCCCAAATTGCAGTGATAGACAGTGTAGCCACTTTTATTAACGATTTCAACTTGTAGTTCAGTGCATACTCGGCGAGGGATAATTAGAAGGGCTCGGCTACAATCAATTTCCATGGACCTATGAAATCTCCTGGGGAAGGATGAAAGACAGAGGAAGGCAGTGGAATCGCAATACATTATAAAGAGGCCTTATGGACTTGCAAATTTAATGAACATTTTGAGAATTTTTGATGAAATTTTTAAAATACTGAAATATCAGAAGGTACCACTAAAATTTTTGGGGATATGAAAAATATAGAAGCGAGAAGAAGAAGAAAAGATTTAGAGGACGAAGTGTAGTTAGCAGGGTGTTCTGCCTAACCAGGGTATTCCTTTGGCCTATATCTCGTTTTACAGGGTGAGATGACAAAACTGCAACCAAATTCAGACTCCTGTCATTTCTTAGCCACTCGTACGACAGCTCTTTAAATTATTAAATTATTTTGGTGAGAGTTTTCCAGAAAAAAAGTTATTCGTGATGGGATCTAAGCGTGATAGTGTGATTTCTTTATGATTGGCTGGAAAACCACAAGTGGCTATCGTTAAAGCACTCCAGCATTTAAATGTGAATAAATCTTTTGTGTCTCGTACCATCGCTCGTTACCGTGAAACTGGTAGCGATGTCAAGGAAGTAGACGGAAGAAAACGGCAACATCAGCAGAAATGGTTTGAAAAGTAAAGAAGGGACTGGATCAAAACCCGCATCGCAGTGGCCGAAAAATAGCTCGTGAGCTGAACATATCGCAATATTCCATTCGACAAATATTGAAAAATGAGCTCGGGGTAAAGACATTGAAATTCCAAAAAGTGCAAGAACTTACACCGCAACAGAAAGAACATAGAGTCAAAAGAGCTGAAGAGTTGCTTCTCTTGGCCGAAAGTGGTGAACTTCCGAATTTTGTTTTCTCCGATGAGAAAATGAGATCGTGTTTACTTGCCAAAAAGGTCAGCTGAAAATGTGCACCTCCGGTTGGCCACTAGTACTCAAGCGCCATGGCCATGGCCATAGTGATGGCCGCCATAACAGGCGATGGTCGCTCTACGCTCGTTTTAATCGACGGTGGCTTCAGAATAAATGACGAATATTATCGCGAAAATATTCTGGAGGGTGTATTTAAGCTTTGGGCACGCAAACATTTTGGCCGCAGACCTTGGACATTCCAACAGGACTCAGCACCATCGCACTCAGCACGCGCCACCAAAAATGGTTACAAAATGAGTTTCCTCGCTTCATTACCAGAGCATAATAGCCACCAAAATCTCCGGATACCAATCCGTTGGACTATTGTGTCTGGAGTATTTTGGAAAGCAATGTTGGTACTAAAAAATATAAAAGTCTCGATCACCTCAAGCAAGCGTTTCGCCAGGAATAGGCCAAAATACCGCAGAGCAAGATTCGGGGAGCGTGTCACGGTTTTATTGGCCGTTTGAAGGCCATAATTCGTGCCAAAGGTGACAAATTCGAACAAATCTAAACTTATTCTAAATTTGATGCTATTTCCGACATTTTTGCTTTCATTCAATAAAATTAAAAAAAAATAAATCAAGAATATGGCGTTTGACTTTGTTGCAGGTTTTTTATCTCACCCTGTAGAAACCAAATTGTCGCGTTATAGAATTTTTTGTTTGGAAATTATCTGAAACATTTTACTTTTCGGGTGGAGCCGTTATATGTGTCCATATACCCTAAAGTTTTTTTCCGCAAAGATATTTTATCCATTGAAAACATGAATATGAATTCACAGATGATCTCTGAAAATAGTATTTCTAATTCTGTAAATAGTATTTTTAACTGCAAGTTTAAAGTTCTGAAAATAGTATTTTTAAGTCCGCGTTTATAGCTTTGAAAAAAATCCTTTAAACACCACGTTTATAGCTCTAAAAATATTATTTTTAGTGTAGCTCTGAAAATACTCATTCTTTTCCACGTTTATAGCTCTGTAAATATTTTTTTATAAATCTACGTTCATACCTCTGAAAGTCTTCTGAAAATAATCCTTATAAATCGACAATCATACCTCTGAAAATATTTCATTTCATTTATTTACCTTACAAAGAAATATTGAAATTCTTTAAAAGAAAATATTCTTAAAAAAATCAATCCTATAACTCTGACAGTCGTTCTAATAGTCCTCCAGAAAATATTATTTAAAAATCCAAGCTTATGTCTCTAATAGTGCTTCAAAAATATTCTTTATAAATCCAAGCTTATAGCTCTGATGTCCTTCTGAAAATATCCTTTTTAATTTCTCATTCTGACAGACCTTTTGAAAATATTCTTAAAAATGACATATTTACAGTTCTGATATCCTTTAACAAATATTCTAAAAAATCCAAAAAATAGTCCTTCTAAAAATATTCTTTAAAACTTTTGGCTATAGCTTTAATTTTTGCTAAGTGTTTCTTTAAATGAATAATCCATTCAAACCAGGACTATTCGCTTGTTTTTGCTCTCTAAAAAAAAGGTTGTACCCTACAAGTTTTGGTGACGTCTTGGCTAAGCGCTTTTTCGTTGACAAATATGTTACCCCAAACACAATTGGGAACATATTGGGTATTTATGTTTTGTCTGGAACACAAATGGCTTCATGACGAATAATTTCGCCAAATGTTTACTATGACATATCCTTTAAGAGCTTTAGTGGCCCCAAAGTGGGCAAGTGTAGTAGATTATCACCGGCCTTTTTGGTCAGGTAATAAAATTTGCTGAATATGATAAATTTGGAGTGTTGGGGTTAAAGATTAAATGGACAGCATGTCGGGAGTTTGTATGAGGGAGAATAAAACAACTGTCTGATTTTATCTATGTGCTAATTGACTTGATTTTTATATATAGATTCTCCTAACAAATTTCCGAGAGGGTTTTAAAATTGTAGATCTAGATGTTGGAAATCATCCATTTTGTGAATAAAACTTCCGTGGCCATATTAATCGTGATTGAAGAAATCATGATATATTTTTTAAATTTGTATATTTTTTAACCACTTTTTTACCTTTCAATTTAACTAAAAATTCGCAAGAAGACAACACTTGTTTATTAAGACATTTCTTAATTCAATTTTACATACCTTTGTAATGCTGTAGCTTCATCCATATCGACATCACCTTCATCCATTTTGGAGCCACTGCAACTGCGACACTTGCAACAAATAATACATGGTGCTGCCAGCAATAGTAGGGGCGAGGCCACCAACAATAATATACCAAAGCCAGCAAAAATGCCTATCACTTGAGCTCGATGCCATACCACCGAGGCACGGGAATGTCCAAGTTTATTTTTACATGGTCCCTTGTCGTAATGGCGCAGAAGAAAGTCATCCTGCATTTTTTTTTTTTTTTTGGAAAGTCAAATAAGAAAGTATTGGAAAATGCATTAACTCAGTATTGGTAAGGTAAAGCAAACGGCAAACTTACATCCAAACTGGCCAGACAATACCAACAGAAGACATGTTTGCAACGTTTGCACATCATTTGGGCACAGCCTTCATCCTTTTCAATGGGCACAGCGCACATGGGACAACACTTGATGAGGTCATTATCGAACGGTATGCCAATATCATCCTGGCCATCGGCGGCCAAACGACGGCTGTATTCCTCACAAGTGATATTTGGATGCCACTAAAATAAACCAAGAAAAGAAGCAACGTATTAAATAAATAAACTTCCTTTTATGTTTCTTGTCGTGCAATTTATAAATGACAACAGCAGGATTTTCGTATTTATTTAAAAAAAGGGGACAACGATGACAGGGAAGAATGGATTTCATTGTTTTATATTATCAAAGAAAAAGACATCACAGCCATACATACCGTTTTCTTACATGCCGAACAGAATTCATCCTTACACGAGGGACATTGTACGGCACACAGTAGGGGTGTATTGGCCGCAGGATTACCACTGCCGTTGTTGGGGCTTAAACTTTGGTTCGTTGCATTCGTTGAGGCTGCCGATGACGTTGAGGCAGCCGCCACATCAGATGTCTGTGCCGTGGATGATGATAATGTTGAACCTATTAAACAAACAGTTTCACAACCAGCTCGAGGACACCAGGTACGTGTTTTATCCAATTCAATTTCTATTTACGCCGAAAAGAAAAGGGATGGAGCAAAAAAAAAAATAAACAAACAAAAAATGATTATTATTATTTCGATGATGATGTTTTGTTATTGGCAACTGACAATCAATCTTGACCAAATAACAACAAATGCAATTCCATTGCTTGGTCGGTCAGATGTAAGCCAGTTGGGGGGGGGAAAGTGGATTTTACAATTGCCTTACCTCGATTTAAGCGATATCTGTGATGTTTTTTCATTAGATTGGTTGTTGTTAGTTTAGCTATTTCGGTTAGGGTCATAACACCCTGTTCCGGACACTGAGCATCGGGACATGAGATCTCATATGCGCCTTCGGATATTTCAAATTCCACATATGCTTTCATGCACTGAAATTAGAAAAAGAGGTAGAAAAAAGAAAATCATTAGATATTGGATTTGAGATAAAGTTTTGGGTTAAAATTTAGGATTTTAAACTAAGAGTATTTTATTATGAGGTTGAACTAAAATTGGTTACACAAATTGTATTTAAATGCTTTCATTTACTACAAGAATTAAAAACAAAGAAATAATATCTAATCATGTTTTGTAATTAGGTAAAAAAAATATGGGTCCAGGAAAGAAGGTTCGTAAAAGTTAAAAGATAAGATTTAGAAATCAAATGGGGAATTATAACGATTTTTATACCCTCCAGCATAGTATGGTGGGAACATTAATTTTGTCATTCCGTAACGCCTCGAAATATACATTTTAGATCCCACAATGTATATATATTCTTGATCAGCATAAAATCATGTTTTGTAATTAGGTAAAAAAGAAATATGGGTCCAGGAAAGAAGGTTCGTAAAAGTTAAAAGATAAGATTTAGAAATCAAATGGGGAATTATAACGATTTTTATACCCTCCAGCATAGTATGGTGGGAACATTAATTTTGTCATTCCGTAACGCCTCGAAATATACATTTTAGATCCCACAATGTATATATATTCTTGATCAGCATAAAATGTCGATTTAGCGATGTCCGTCCGTCTGTGGAAATCACTCTAGCTTCCGAACAAAATGAAGTAGGTTGATAAAATTTTACTTAAATGTATATTATGTCTGCAAGATTTTTGGAATTGAAAATGGGTCATGTAGTTCCACGTCTTCGTATAGCCCCCATATAACGGTACCTCCCGATATTCGGTATTTTAATGTTTTTAGCGACAATATTCATCGGAATTGTTTTAAATTTGATATTTAAGGTTCGTAATGGATACTACAGCCTAAGACAGAAAATGATCTGTGCAGGCCCACGTCTTCGTATAGCCCTCATATAACAGAACCTCCCGATATTCGGTATTTTAATGATTTTAGCGACATTTGTCACCGGAATAGTTTCAAATTTGGAATTTAAAGTTCGTAATGGATACTGCAGCCTAAGACAGAAAATTGTCTGTGCAGGTCCACGTCTTCGTATAGCACCCATATAACGGCACCTCCCTATTTTCCTCTGCCTCTGCATGTCCACATCGTTGTATAGACCCTAATATAATGGCTACATTCGGCATTTTTAAGATTTTAACAGAATTTTCAACGGATTTTATTTTTTGAAAATTGTCAAATTTCATTGTCATTGTCAATGGGTATTCAAAGTTCGGCCCGGTCGAACTTACAGCTTTTTTACTTTTTTTATCATCATATCTCCTCCCTAAATAGCATTCTTCAACTTCATACATTGTAAGAAATCCAATATAAATGACAAAAAATGATTTACCAACAAAGTTTTTAATTTAAAATCTTAAGAGCACATGTAGTAAATATCAGATTTCATTAGTGTCAGTTTCCTTGGCTCGGCACTCACATCCTCCAAGGATAATAAATAATTGTTCAACAAATGCCCAAAAAAAAGAGTGTGAAACAAACAACAACTGCCAATGCAATACTGCAGCAGCAGTAAAATTCAAATTGTATGAAATTATGTGTAGTTTTTCGCATAACTACAACATTTCCAAATAGGCGGCGGCACAACACAAAAACTAATTTAAAAAGTTTCTTCTACTGTTCATAACCTAACTTCCGGTTTCCTACAGCTACAGAGGAAGTTTTGTGCACAGGAAAATGATGCTCATTTCTATTTAACAACAATCCAGGCTATCGTATACGAAGAATATCCTGCTAAGTATATCACACTTACAAGTTTTAATATGTATTATTTTTGGTGTTGCAGAAAAAGGGGTTTGTGCTGAGAAAAATCGGGATGTGTGGTTAGAGCAACAATTCAAAATTGTATTTTTGTAAGCAAAAAACAAGAGCAAAATCAGGGAATTGTTGGAAAATAAAAATAAAAATATGAAACAATGTCTGCAGTATGTGTATGTTTACCACTTTACAGTGCAGTCCCATGTTTGTTTCCATGACCAAAATATGCGACCATAAACTATAGATTTGATTGTAGTTACGGGCATTCTTTGTTTCTCCTCTGTCTCTCCCCTCTTCTTAGTTTTGGAGATTTAACATAAATTTATGAAATTGCAGCAACTAAACTCAATTCCTAAAACTTTATTTACTTTTTTCAGTTTTCAAAGCCAACCTAAACTGGGAGAGGGAAATGCCTAGCACTTTGTTAGATGACGCGGAATGATAACGACAAGAAATTTAAATGAAGATTTTCTTAGATTTCAAAGTCATTCCCTTGAATGACGAAATCTTGACCACGTCAGAACGTTGTCGAACAATAATCGTTATGTTTCAAAGCCCTTTGAATGTTATTTATTATTTATTTATTTTACATATAATACATTACTCGTCAAGTCTGAAATACAATTTATTTTTTCACATAAACAATCTAAAACCGGTAAGGAAAGGCCAAAAGTCGGGCGGGGTCGACTATATGATAGCCTACACCACTATGTGTATTTAGGTAAGCTCACGTAACAAAAAACTTTATATTGGGAAATTACGTGAAGTAGATCATACCAACTCTGAACCAAATAACATTGCTGTATACAGGGTGAGATAAAAAACTGCAACAAAGTCAAACGCCACAATTTTTATATTTTTTTTAATTTTATTGAATGAAAGCAGAATGGCATCAAATTTTAGAATAAGTTTAGATTTGTTCGAATTGGTAACCTTTGGCACGAATTATGGCCTTCAAACGGCCAATGAAACTGTCACACGCTGCCCGAATGTTGCTCTGCGGTATTTTGGTCCATTCCCGGCGAAACAGTTGCTTGAGGTGATCGACACTTTGATATTTTTAGTGCCAACCTTGCTTTCCAAAATACTCCAGACACAATAGTCCAACGGATTGGTATCCGGAGATTTTGGTGGCCATTGTGCGCTGGAAATTAAGCGAGGAACCTCATTTTGTAACCATTCTTGGGTGGCGCTGATTGCGATGCTGCTAAGTCCTGTTAGAATGTCCAAGGTCTGCGGCCAAAATCACGCTTAAATTCCATCACGAATAAATTTTTTTCGGAAAATTCTCACCAAAATGCTCTTGTATGCTTGTAAACAATATAATGAGCTGTCACTGGAATAATTTTAACAGCTGTCGGACGAGTGGCTTAGATATGACAGCAGTCTGAAATTGGTTGCAGTTTTTTCATCTCATGATATGACTTCGATAAGGGTTATAATAAGAAATATTTATTAGAGCAATAGATATACCGGACCGAGTTTCACCAAATAGTAAAATTCGGTTGAATATGGTTGGGAGCTACAGCTATATCTGAACCGATTTTCACCAAATTTGATGTACTTGCTTCTAGACTGAATTCGGTCGGATGTGCCAAAATTCAGGTCATTTGGACTGATATTGGCTATTTTGTGCACAATTAAGCCGAAATCGGTTGAAGATATATATGGGAGATGTATGTAAATTTTAAACGATTCTCACCAATTTCAATAGGGTTCGTCCTTGTGCCAAAGGGATATTGTATGGAAATTTTCATCTCAATTGGACAATAAATGCGACCTCTATTTTGTTCACATAAATACATGGACAGACTGGCGGACGGACGGATAGACTCAGAAAGGGATTCTTTGAAGATCCTCAAAAGTAACTATGGGTCTATCTCGCTTCCTTCTCCATGTTACAAACAAATGCACAAAGACATAATACCCCTACCACTATGTGCTGTAGGATATAAATGGGGGTATAATTGAATGACTCGAAATTCGTCCTGAAATAGGTATTAAATCGTGTGCAGGCCATTCAATAATTTTTTCCACATCAAACAATTGCAGATTTACTTTATAATCTAGGCTTAACTCTAGTTTAGTAAAAACTCTTCAATTTTTTCGAAAATTTTTTCAGTGGTAGGTATTTTAACCATGATCCCGGGAAACTATTTTTTTCTTGGGGGACGGACCTGGGACCCCAGATTTTTGACCCGAAAGTCCGGGTTCAAGACCCCGACTAGACCCGGATCCACTTACCAGATATAGACAATATGGAAAGCTTATGAAAATACCTATCCAACAAGTGGTCACATGATGGGGTAATGGGTTACGGTTCGGAAGTTATAGTCAAATTATCGATTTTTTGGACCCGGATTTTTTATAAAACCCCCAAAAAGTCAAAAAAGGGTCCATTATGGGGGACAACAAAATTGATGCCAAATTATAGCTGACACTTTTACCTTTCCAAAATGCTACAATTTGTGCTAATACCTTCACTGAGTCCAGAGATATGGGTCTTTCCATCCGCATAACCCGATTCTAACCAGTTCATTAAAACTATGTTTTCAATAAAAAATGGTATATTTTGCGTAAGAATGAAATTCAGAAATCTTTGGTACGCGTTAGCCGGTGTGGGACATACCCAGAGGAGAAAATCTCAAGCCCCGGCCGAAGGCCGGCTATATACAAAAAGTGTCAAATTTAGAAAACTTTGGTTCGCGTTAGCCGGTGTAGGACATACCTAGAGGAGAAAATCTCAAGCCCCGGCCGAAGGCCGGCTATATACAAAAAGTGTCAAATTTAGAAAACTTTGGTTCGCGTTAGCCGGTGTAGGACATACCTAGAGGAGAAAATCTCAAGCCCCGGCCGAAGGCCGGCTATATACAAAAAGTGTCAAATTTAGAAAACTTTGGTTCGCGTTAGCCGGTGTAGGACATACCCAGAGGAGAAAATCTCAAGCCCCGGCCGAAGGCCGGCTATATACAAAAAGTGTCAAATTTAGAAAACTTTGGTTCGCGTTAGCCGGTGTGGGACATACCCAGAGGAGAAAATCTCAAGCCCCGGCCGAAGGCCGGCTATATACAAAAAGTGTCAAATTTAGAAAACTTTGGTTCGCGTTAGCCGGTGTAGGACATACCTAGAGGAGAAAATCTCAAGCCCCGGCCGAAGGCCGGCTATTTACAAAAAGAGCCAAATTTAGAAAACTTTTGTTATTCCGAC